TGCGCACTGTTGTACAACACCCACTGAACTCTGCGCACTGTTGTACAACACCCACTGAACTCTGCGCACTGTTGTACAACACCCACTGAACTCTGAGCACTGTTATACAACACCCACTGAACTCTGAGCACTGTTATACAACACCCACTGAACTCTACGCACTGTTATACAACACACACTGAAGTCTACGCACTGTTGTACAACATCCATAGAACTGATACTAAACACTGCGCAATAGTCCAAATCAATGTTATTGCATCGTAGTCCTTACCTTGACACGGCTGTTGGTTACATGCACGTGTCTCACTCGCAGGTCCCTGACATGGCAGCCCATTGCCCCGAGGAAACGGACTTTCACAGACACGTCGTCTTGTTTGTAAACCACCACCACAGGAGGGTATACAGGTGTCCCACGGCTGCCAAGATGACCAGCCTCCATCAACGTTTTCTGATCAAGTAAAACATGACAATCAATAGGTATAATGGTCTATCTCAAACTAGCTTGGAATAAATGAAATAGCAATGCTCGAGAATTGAAGAAATGCAATAGAAGTAAGAGAGGCAAGGGAAATAGAAGGGATAGTTTAGTTAAGTTAAGAAATCAAGGTGGATTCAATAAAACCCTTGCAGTACGTCGGAATGCAGCTCAATTTGGAGGACATGACAATAGGTTTCCAATTCTCATGAGATTGAATTTTTTTTTTTGTCGTCCAAGTTGAGCTGCTTTGTTGTGAGGGGTCTATATCCGTCTTTACGTTGGCTATAATCCTTTTTCTATTTCAGATCACGTGTCATTCCCTAGCGTATCATTTCTTTGTTTAATGGTTGCACGTGAGAAGATAAATTAATATGTATACAACTCAAACAAAGAATCTTATGCTCAAGACAATTAAACGTGGTCCGAAATACAAAAATATTGCACCTAAGTTAAGAGGGACAACAGGAGGAAGAACGAGTGGAGAATCAATAATCACGTTTATGAATTTAGAAGCAAAGGTTTCAATGATATCATTTATGTTTCCATCATAAAAACAAGCAAAACTAACCTATTTGAGTTTTAACGTCCTCACAAGTTTGTTCAGATATTTGATAAGCTTTATTAAGAAGATCATCAAAGTCTGTGGCGGTGAAAACATCGTTATCTTTCTGCACCATCGATCTCAGTTCATTGTAGTCTATTCTGCTACCAACACCAACTGCCAATATCGTGACACCCTTATTCTGTAGAGGAATGACTGCCTCCTTCAAGGGAATGGCGTCAGGGTCCGGTGTTTGGACACCATCGGTTAAGATGACCAAAAGCTTGGGAAGCCCAGGACGAGTGCCCCCTCTGTTAGAGAATATATCAGTGCTAGCTAGCTTCAGAGCCTTGTCAATGCGCGTCCTTCCCAAGATATAAGGGATTCGTTCTACAGCTTGTTTGAAACTATCCACTGAGTAGTGATGCCCGAGTGGAATGTTCAGCGTGGCTGTATCGCTGTAGGTTATCACTGCTGCTGCGGTCTCATTGTGACCAAACGTGAAGGCTGAAGCCAGAGAGTGGACAAAATCTCTTTCTTTCTGAAAGTCAGTCTCGCCAATGCTGTTCGATGCATCCATCAAAAAACCAAGATCTGCGCGGTACCGGCATTTTGGCACAATTACTGAAAACAAGGATGAAGAAGGCGGGTGTTATCGAAAACATAACGACGTTAATTGTTTCATCTCAAGCACATTCGTCCCATATGGCATTTTTCAAACCCTGGAAATATAATTATGATGTGATGGACAAAAAAGTTTGAATTTGATTGACACTTAACTTATTTACTTGGCGTCCCCGATGTTATTTTGTGTGTGGCATGGAAATTAGAACATCGGTTGATTGGTCAAGAAAAAGCATTCTTTCAAGGTTGCGGGATGATCGAATGGATTAATCAAATTTGTACCCTACAATTTCAATTTAATGCATTTTGCTTGACCAACAAACCTAAAAATTTTCTATTCTATGCTGATTGAATAAGCAGGAACTCCTAATATAAATTTCACCGTATGTAATCGTGGAATCTATAGTTATTGTTTTACACGGTTGATTACCGGGTGCAGGAGCGCAAGTTCCCCGCGCAATTCTTTTAACAAGTCGTAGCAGTTCGTCAAAGTCAGCTGCCTCGTACACATCACTTTCTCTTTCAACTAACTGTAGTAACTCGCTCCTTTTGTAGTGACCTCCTACTCCAACAGCAAACACGCGTACTCCAGCTTCATGTAAGGGAAGGACCGCGTCAACCAGTGGCACCGCATCAGGATCAGGCGTTTGAACTCCGTCTAAAACGTTCAGTAAAACAGAATTGGTTGGTAATTTTTTTCCGGGTCTTCCAATTTTCAGGAGATTAAAATTCTTTTGTATTGCACGTCACGTGCAAGGGGTCTATTCTATCGAGAAAAAGTGTGATTTCTTTTGTAGTTTTCATAGATTTTCCTTGGGATGGAATTTATGGCATTCTTCTGTACTCTCTTGTTAGCCTGGAATTAAGGATCATTTTTGAAAGTGCGTCTATATGGAGCACAGCATTGCAGTATCAACCACAATTATTCCATCTAAATATTTTAAAAACATTAAAAAATAATCATGGAAACGTTTCGTTTTAAATAAATACTTCGGCTATTACTTATAACAATACGGCCAAGCAATACAGCAATTGAGCAATACAGCCATACAGACAAGCTCACCTGTTAGAATCACCATGATGTCTTCCTTATCAGGTCGAGCTCCCCCTTGACTCGTAAACAGATTCGTCGCGGCCAATTTCAAAGCTTTATCGATTCGAGTTCTTTTCCTTAAATACGGTAACGAATCAACCGCCCTCTTAAATCTTTCAATATCCGGATATTGACCAAATGTGGAGTACATTAGAGCGTCGTCGCTGTAGATTATGACCCCAGCTTGCGTATTTCGACGAGAGAGGATGAAAGTAGAGGCAAGAGACTTGACAAATTCTTTTTCTTTTTGATAATCCTGGTCTCCGATGCTTCCTGACGAATCCATCAGGAAACCAAGGTCTACGTTCTTGCGACATCGATCTTGCTCTACGTAAAAACATCAAAATGATTGATTTACACTGATTCACGTGCGCTTTCATGCGCTCAATACAATTTGAATACATTTACGTCGCGGGTTTTCGTGCTGGCACGCAAATTAAAGGTTTTGTTTTATGCAACGCATCATTTGGTGCGGCATTTACACATCCGCAAATTTTATCCGCAAATTTTCGAATACGCTGACGTAAACACGATTTTGCGCATGCTCAATAAGAAAAACTATATGTCAAAGGGAGTAAGCACTAGCTTGCATCAGGGTGGATCAAGAAATTTTCGGAAACGTGTAAACAGTGAAAACGATTCGAAAACGATTCGAATACGCTGCGTGTGGACGCGAACATTTTCGTATCCACAAAAAAAATTTGCGAATACAAAAATTTCCGGATACGTGTGGACGGGGCCAAAATCGCATGCGCACTGGAAACGATTCGAACTGATTTATTACAATGGTCTTTCTCTGAAATGGAAGTGCAATAATTGCGTGATTTTTCGAATGACCTTCAGGCTTGGTTTTCACTTGTACAAATTCTAAGCACAAAATGCTTTTCAATCATGGATAATTCAATTGATTTTTCAAGTCATCTAATGCGCCTGAGCATTGAAAAGATAATGTATCTAAAATAAAGAATACAAAGCTGCGAGAGCAGATCATTTGCGTCATAAAGCGTTCGGGACGTCGCACTCCAACGGTTCACTAAAACAATACACAAATGGAACAAGCAACAAACAAATAAATCTAAGGAGATGGAAAAAGTATCTATGAATACCAGGCTATTTTAGTGTCTGAATCCTCTTTGAGCCTGTGCATTTCTCTACGCATTTTTCTCGTTTCGTTATTTTAGCGAAGTATTTCCTAAGAAATTTTCATTGTTATATTCACGCGCAAAATTTTTTCATTAAATTGTAGCATTTCACTGGCGTCAACATCTCATCCGAACGGTACATCGTTACTTTAGTTCCTTTTTAAAATGCGACAAAGCATCTCAGTAAGGATTTTCAAAGCCCAATACGTGCTCTTAGTACCATTTGTTTGGTAGAAAAACTCATCGCTTTAACCAGATCTCTCAACAAAGGGTACATTGTTACAACTATGTATGGCACCATATGTTATCGCTTCGTGTGCGGTGCGCGCGACCTTTAACATACAACACCTAGCGTCTGTAAACAAATGCGCAATGACTATTCATTATTTAATATTTGCGTATCTTATAATCACAACCATCATCACCTCATTCGTCATCATCAACGCCAACATTCGTAACCGTATAGACCCCTTGCATTGATTTCCTAGAGGAATTGTTCAGGGGGACAAAACATCAGGACGTCTTTTCTTATGCAAAAAAAATATCCATTGTTTCGTCCCCCAGAACAATCCCTCTCGGGACTCAGTGTATACACGATATCTGGATTATTGCATTCCTATAACTGGCGATTCCATTTAAACGCAAAATCCCCGATATACCAAGACTCGAATATTAATTAAATATGGCTGCTAGCAACATCCAGGACAAATATAAATGGAAGGTTAATTGAAATAAGAATATTAAGTAAAGAAATTTTAAAAAGTAACGCCCGACAGATGTGTGATTTTGAATAGGAGTTCTATGTGATTGGCTTGTGTCTGTGGTTCTGAGGTCGTGTTTAGATGTTTGAGCCTGTTTCAATCATAAGGTAGGTATAATAAGCAAAGAAATCTGTCCTGTTCTACCCAAGTACCTTCTAAAAAATTGCCCAAAATTAAAATTTATTATTATTATTATTTACTCATGTATAGTTAAAGCCAGAAGCTTGTGTAGCCGTGTTTTCACTCCATACTTTCTTAATTCATACGCATTTACTATACCTAATTAATGTGCATGAAAAATATATATGCATCAAATAAAATAAATTAAAAAAATTTATTTGCTGATAGTAGAATTAAAACTAAAAGCTTGTGTGACCGTGTTTTCGCAGACTGGACGCTTGGAAAATATTCCCAGCCAAGTCCATAAAGTGATTTTGAAAGATACTATCAATTACCGACACCACGGGATCCAGGGTATTGATGGCTCACTGTGTGACCTTTCCTAGTGTTTTTACAATCTTATGCTAGATGGAAATCAAAATATATATCACCATTACATGCGCGAGTTTGCGCGCCTTCAAAATTGTTATGTTCATGACACGTGCAATTTTGCGCGCGAAAACAGCGACTTAAAATAATCAAAAAAACGGTCCGACCATTTGTAGTCTATGTTATATTGCACTTTCTCGACGCGTCATTCAATCAACGCTTTTTATTTAAAAGCAGTATCGTTAATATTGATAAACAAAGTCTTCCTGGATTAATAGTTTCGTGATAATTTCGTTTTTGCCTGTCGATTGCAGGTCAATTGGAGACCTCTTCCACAAAAATATCATGAATTCCCGCAAAAAATAAACGCACAAAGTTAGACCTATTGCGTTGCAATTTTCAACGAAACTCAAGGCCTTCTTTTTTTCCAATCCAAATTTACTAAAATTTGGAAAATAATTTTGTCGTGAAACAAAAAAGTATTTAGGTGAACCTTTCTAGGATATTGTCACATATTGCAGTCAATCTTCCGCGCACCACCCATCGAACCTCTTGGGTTCAGTTCATAAATTATATAAACCTATTTCGAATTCCAAGCAAGAGGAGCCGTGAACTTGACCTACGTTGATAAAAGACTAGAAACGTCTTAGAATTTATAAACAAGGGATTCGCAATGTAAAGAATGACGAAAGAATTCCTATATTGAAAACAACGTAGCGAAAGAAGCATTTTGGAAGCATTTTGGACCCTTAAACAAATCTCGAGATAATGTTTTAACCACTAAAGTATATTTTAGTATACCTTTGACTAAATCAAACCAAATACTTCTGAACGTATTTGCAATCCCGTCTCATGACAGGGCCAAATACTTATGGGAGGTCTACTGCGCATGTGTGATTGAGGTTTAAAAGTATTCCTCGGTGGGGTCGCGCTGTCCATATGTACTGTGTAATATGGACCCTTGCGGATCTAGAGAACTACAGCGGAGAAAATCCACGGGGAAGAAACCACAGAATCTATTTCCAGACTAAAAGATTATTTATCATAATCGTGACGGTAAATCATCTCAAAGTTAGTTCTCGAGGTTCAAGAGGGGGGTCAAGAATGATTCTTTTAAAATTAGTCTATTGTTTGTCAGACCACATGTTATTCCCTTGAACAGCATTTCTTTGTTTATAGTTTATCAATAACGTGCACTTGCAATTGCAGATAGAGCAATATGGAGTAAATGCAAAAAAGAGTTGATTTGGAAAACAGCACTTACGATCTAAAAGATCTTTTGTTAGTCTAGATAAAACGTGGTCCAATTTTTGTTTGATTTGCTGTTTTGACGATTTAACGAAGCCCCAAACATCTAAGAATTGACGTGTTTTCCCAGTAAGGACACGATGGAACGGCTTTACGTTTTCCCCCGTGAGGAAAGCCAGAGCTGAACGCACAAGATAATAAAGGAGAACCAGCAAGTAATCTTACTTTCAAATCTAAAGTCTTATGCAAAAATGATGTGAGATTTTTAAACGTTCTGAAAATATTTCGTCAAGCCGGTAAGAATAAATATTGGCACAAGAATCTTAGTCAGGATGAACTCCTTCAAGCTTATCTCCCGTTCACAAGCATAAGACCTAACGCTATAGTGATAGATTGAGGCCTCCCTATCTCCAAGCCGTAGGTGGGCAGTCCTTTGGTCTGTATAAGCTAAGCACAGTATGATACATGAACCACGTGCACAAGATCGATATATTGCATTGGTTTCCACGTGCACGGACATTATCTGGGTTATAAACCCCCCGAGGGAAGAAATACATACGTCATATGCAGTCTGTTGCCGTCTGGTGGATTTGCTCCTAGGAATGGCCTTATTGACCCCCTTTAAGTTGAATTATGGCAACAATGTTACATTTGCTATCCGTGCCCGATGCTTGAAATAATTGAAATGATGGAGTACTTAGTTCATCGCAAACATCTTATGCGATAAAAATGCTTAACACCTGCAGGATCCAGGGACGAGCTTTCAATTACTGGTATGTATGGTCGCCATCTTGGTTGGTGAATGTGACGAAAGATTTCGCATTTGTTTTTTCATATTATAGACATAGTTGGTTATTGCATTCTCTTGAAAATGGAATGATTGTAAACCATCTTTTTAAAACAACTGTTATAAATTTCGCGTTCCGATTAGTTGGAAAAGCGTGCTTTATGAGAGCACATAGCACACGCGCGCACTTTCAGTTGCGTCATTCCTATATCATCCAAAATAACAGTTATTGTACAGTAATTTGTATTTCATAAAAGGAATAACAAATTTGCTTGCCGTGCTGTGTGACGCTAAGCGTCATGCTTCTCCTAACACTTTTCTCGTGTTCTGCCAATCCCCGCGTATCAAGAGAATATTAAGTATCTCTTACTGCGTGTTTTATAACTGCACACAGCACGCGCGCGCGTTTTCTATTTCTTCATTAGACTAATATATATATTGTGTTTATAGAGTATTAATAATAATAAGTAAATAAATCTTGTCTTCTCGATACGGGACGCAGTCTTTGCCGAGTCTCCTTAGCCAGAGGCTGTAAACGACACATTTCAAACTTACGACGTTCAACTTCAGATACATATGCTTGGTTCATTGTGTTTTGAGGTTGTATAAAGTGTAAAATATTTTATGTCTGTATAGACGAAAGATAGTCCGGCTTCACGAAAAAAAAATCATTAGCTCCTTGAAAAATAAATTTTCGTATGTGAAATATTTCGAATTTAATTGGAAAACTTTCTTGGCCCTATTTAAATTTGAAAACAGCTATTTGAAAAAGGTTGGTAAAGGTTTTGCTTGTTGCTTTCTAACATATATTATTCATCAGTATGAAAATAATTTCAGCATAGAAAGATATTCTGGAAAAACGTGCAGACAAAGTTTGGTAAAGTTTTATATCGTTGTGTCCTTTCGCTGATTGGATTCACATCGCTAATAGTGCATTTCAGGCTTGGTATGCAACATGAAACATGCGACATGCAATAAACCTTCGATTCAAATGCAATGGGTAACTTCCGCACCCCCTCCCCCCTAAAAATTGAGCGCCGGTATCTAACTAGCGCACCCCTACCCCTAGAAATTGAACGAGGCGAGATATACACACCTGAAGCCAATGAGAAAAGATCTGGAGCCTCCGTAAGACCCCAAAACATATTCAGTCCATCACCCAGCTCAATGTGATTTAACCCCTACCCCCTAAGTCTCTTTTGGATAATAGCAAGACATTGCAGCCTAGATGTCAAGAAAGCAAAGATCCAGGACTTGGTTACCACATTCACATTGACGTGATTTAGAAATGAATGAAAGAAAGAATAAAATATAGGATAAAACGACGAAGCGAATAGAAGCCTGGAGCAAGTAGTTCGCGTGGCCGCGGCTAGAAGGGTTCAAACTGGCACACGTTATCCCGGAAGAAAGCACTTAAAAGCCAAATATGCTCAAGGTTTCAATCTCTCATGGATGGCATCCAACAACCGGTTCGTCAGTCAAGTGGCATCTTTAAGCAGCATTCTTTCCGTCAGGGACAAAAACATCTCTAGCTTTGCCAAGAAAAGAAAAACCCGCCTACGTTTGTACCGTCCCTTTCCTTCCAATCTGTTATCTTTCACTCGCTTTTCGACCCAAGAGAGGATTATTCGTCTAAATGAATTTAAATCCTTCTTTAAGTGACTGCTTAAAGAAGATCCATATTGTCCATATGTTATTACAGACTGGATCAACAACACAGATGTTGTGTGTTTTAGCTTGGCTTAAGGGAGTGAAATCTTCTAACTCGACAAGCTGCAGCAACTGACCTTTGACTGATTGTTTTTTTGGTGGGATACTCATTTGGAAGTGTTTAGACAACCTCTACAAGCCAAAGAAAAAACTTCATTCGTGTTTTTGTAACGTGACTTGGGTACACAATATACACAATCCGAGCAGCACGACCATTTGTCGACAATATTCTAGTTTTTCTACTTGTTTAGATTGTGGAAAAACAAATAAAAACACTACTTTACCACTCACTACGTAAGATTTTTTTCTCGATATTTCGTAGAATATTCTGGTTATTTTTACGCAGCGTGAACACTATTTAACAACGAAATAACTCCTCTCTCTAATATGATGATTTGTGAACAATTTTTGCTCGAGGCAATGTGAAATTTGGTCGCTACAGGAATTGTACAAAGGTTTCTAAATGTCGTACATTTGCAACGAAGTTTGTACTGATAATCTGGTAGACAGCAATTTGACTTGAAATCTTACGAAGAATTAACTATCACAATATGTCAAGCGAGGGGTAGTTTACGTTTGATTGACAGCCATTGCAACTGGAGCGACAACTTCGTCTACTCTGAGCTCGTCTAAGATTCTCCCCACAAAGCACTCTTGTCATTTGACATGCTTATTCTTACACTAGAAGTGCCGAGCAAACAAAAGGGAGATTTTATACTTATAAATATCCTGTTAAATTAAGACTTCAAGGAATTTATCCCCTAACCTTTTGGCTTTGATATTCTACTTCATCTTCCGAATAATAAATCGTACTTTACCTGAGATTCTAATCCCATTTAACAACTCATTGTGGGTGCATCCGGTGGAAATAATTCAAGATTATTGGAAAGTCCTTCCTCTAAATAGAATATGACAGAGTATAACATATATAATTGAAAATAAAAGGCTTCGACATTTCAATGCGTTCGTCAAAAAAGACATTATGGACATGAGATTCGAGAGTAAATATACATATAAATATATAATAAATATACTTCCATGGGTTGATGGAGCCAATGTTTCATGTATGTAATTCATGAATGTATTTCATGATTTCAAGTATAATTAACGAGATGTGAAAGGTGAAAAACCTGGTGTGCCATGTGAATAACCAAAAGTCAAGAAAATCAAATTGAGCTGTCATGCACGGTACGAAGAAGCGTGGAGCCTGGTAATGAGTGCACGCATTTTTGTTCACTAAAATGTCTACAGATCAATAGTGTAGCAGAATCATAGCTATGAAAAGATTGTAAACGCATCTTGGCAGAGTTTAGTCGACAAACCTCTAGTGGTGTGTATGCACAAGTAAAGGATTTTATCAAGCTTCTGACGTTCTCCAATTCACGTGAAGGTTATTGCGTTTAGCGAAAACTCTGTCAACAAAGCCCGAGAATCACGAAAAAGGTCTTTTAATCCTCAGAAAATGAAGTCGTTGACTTAAAAAAAAACGGAATACGTCTAGGAAATACTTGAACGGTGTTTAATTTAGGGTTTGCGGTTTGGTCGAAGCGTCCAACAACGGTCTCTCTTATCGTTGACATCGATTGTGGGTTTATAAAGATGTTTAAAAAAACCTTAAGCCAAACTTGTTGAAATCAAAATCTGATAGTCACAGCTCGTGAAATGCTTGCATGTAGCGTCGAACATTAAGTTGAAATGGCATTTATTTCTCTTTGTGTAAAGGTTGTTTATAAAAAGCGCGCGAAAGGAACTAGATTGTCTGTGATAGCGTCCAGGAATACACATAAATATCTTAACATGTGGCTTACCTTGTGCGTTCACAGTTAACAACTGTAACAGTAAAGGCAGGAGAAGTTTGAGAGTGTAGAGCTCCATGATCTAGTGTGAATGATCAAGACATACGACGTCTATCAATAGTTAAGTGCCATCTGCAGGAGTGGTTTTGACTGCTATTCGCGGTTTGCTTTGCCCTCTGTTGGTGTCATGCTAATGTAACTGGACACCTGAAAATTGAATACGTGTGCAAATCATTGCAATTATCTAATGTGTTACCGAGAAAACATTCATAATATCACATCACACGACGAAATGAAATGTTTTCAATTCCACGATATGAAAATACTAATCATTAAAGGAATGTCTAGTTGTTTGGCGCTTGCGTTTAGTCTTTTCGGTAGATTGAAGAGACATTAATTCTTCCAAACGACGTCAGCAGAAATGATTTACCTCAAAAACAAGAAATCAATATTTGGATAACTTTTGAGTAGTGTTTATTTAAGTTGTAATAAAACGTTGATGTCCAATACAGGAAATGAGGAGGAATATACAACTGTAGATAAGCACTCTTCCAAGGGGTCATAACAGCCATACGACCTAATGAATTTTTCGTTAATTGGTCGAATGACAGAGATTAGACCATTCAGGGCGTGGACGTAATTGATCAAATGACAGAGATTATTAGTTGCTTGGCGTGATCGAGAGTAGGCGAGTTGCTCCAGCATCAGTGTATGATACTGGAACAGATACAAAGTGACTACGTGCTCTGATGTATGATCACCTGACATCGATAAAGTGTTTATGGAAGTCGATGTTGCTAATTTTGGATTGCTTCAGCGGAGCGGGGAAAAAGAAAACGTGAGCTTCCGCTCGTTTAATCAAGGGTGTTTTTGAACGGGCCAAAACCACTTCAGCGTGTTTATACAACATGTTTTACGCTGTCACTGCTGATTTACAAGTATATCTCAGGGCGGTAGGGGAGAGAACTCCTCCTCCAGCACTGGTATAACTGTATTGCTGTGCGCGATAAAATCTCGCGTAGTATTGTTAATGGTAGCTATATATTTTGCTATGTATCAGAAGTGACAATGCTGTACACGGTTATGGAAATTTCCCGCCATTTTCAAGTCGCTTATCGTATGATCACCCCGGGCGAGTAGAGACTTGGTTGTCCTAATAAAATAAAGTTAACGAGAAGAGAAGCCCAATAGTCGAATACAATCAATTTTAATTCGTCCATTGAATGAGTGTGCGAAGCGCATTCTCTTTATGTTGTAACAGAAATCGTGACCTAAGACTCCGTGGATTTCAAATAAATTTGCATTTGAAAGTAAAAACATTAAATTTTGACGTTGGAAGCTAAAAATAAGATTACGTCATAAGGCATTACTGTGTGGGTTTTCACGCACCGCGTGGAAAAGATCCCATATCTCCCCACCCTTGACCTAAATATGCATACAATAAGAAAATCCCAGTGCCAGATTAGGTATCTTAATCGGAAACACTTGGGACAAACAAAAACCATCCATTTTGAAGCCTGTCTTTTTATGATTGATGTTTATTCCAAAAAGCCGTATTTGCCTCTCAACGATGAGTCTCCAAAAGCGCATGGATGATGACTTGTAGGTATTCTATGCGAAGGCGGGAAGCACTGCTGATAGACTAGCTGTGAAGTATTACCGACGTTTCCCTAGAACTGAGAATATGCTCTCTTGACTTTCCTTGTCCATAATCATCTGCGCAATCCTCTGAGCCGGAATGTGTATCGACTGAAGTTTCTGGTAGGAAGGAAATAACACAATGGGGGTGTTGCTGCTGTTTTGGAATGTACATAAATGTAACAGAAGCTGGTGGAAAGACAGACAGACAGACAGAAACAAGAGGGGAATGGCAATGACGGAGCTCAGTACTCTTGTCTGCTTTATAATCCTATAAAGGATAAGCTGTTAGAGAGAGAGAGAGAGAGAGAGAGAGAGAGAGAGAGAG